TTATTTCTTTATCAAGATAAAACAAACTTTAGCCTCAAGCGTACAATTAATATTATTAATTAATTACTAATAATTTACTATTAATAAATAGTGCAAAAAAGAGTGCAGTGTGTTCATATTTCTACTCATAATTATTCGGAGAGTGAAAATTACAAATAAAAAATAAAATTGAACAGGCATCCATCCAGTTATTGAAAACAAACTCTAAGTTATGTTTTAAAAAAAATTAATAATATTTTATATATTATTAATACACAAGAAAAGTTTTAGAAATTTAAACGCCTTAAAAGTCTTTCGTTATGTCTTAAAATTCTTATTGATCCTGTAGGTTTTTTGTTTTTTTTTTTATAAATAAGTATATATATATTTTAAAATATAAGAAACTTAACAGGCATAAATTATTTAAAGCCAAAAAAGTATTTGAAAAAGTCTTGCTTTTTATTATCATTGTGTGTGTTTTTTTAATGAATAAAATGTTTTAAATTAACCAAGAAAAAAAAGTCTTGTTCATTGTGCTTTTTACACAGTAATAAAATAAAATTGAGTATAAATTATCTCAAAATTCTTGTTTATTTATAAGAATAAATAACATTAAAAAATACAACATAAAAAATTACTACACAAATCATTTAAAAATATCACACAATATATTTTCAAACGTTTTTCGTTCACAACGATTTTTTTTTCATATAATTTATAAAGGTATTATGTATTTCATAATTTTTTGCAAAAAGAATTCGATATATTGTCTATAATATAATTAACTTCTCGTAAGGTAAGTTATAGTAATCGAAAATGAAAATTTTTATATATCTTTACGTTTCAGAGGTTTCTGAATATTTTGGCATACCTTAGAAAAAATGGGTGCATGTGTGTGTGTGTGTGTGTGTGTGTGTGTGCGTGTATATATGTGTGTGCAGATACAAATTTTTGTCGACGATTTCGGTAACACGGATGAAGCAATTTGAATAATTGCTTTTGAATAATAATAATAAAAAAAAATGTCATTTGGCGGTCAAAAATGATCATTAGACATATGCACATCAAATTATCAGATATTTTATAGAGATTTTAACAATAAGTATAAATTTTGTTTACATTCCTATGGGTTCCGTACCAATGTTTACGCGTTAGACAGCGACGCGGCGCTTACGCGCTTCTATATTCTCTATGCAGCTAAAGCAGTACGATTGCTTTGAAAAAAAGTTCAGATGTTCCAACGTATGTCAAAATAAAGAAAACATTTTTTCTCAAAAAAAAAGATTTAAAAAAAAAAAATTTAAATAATTTTTTTTCAATTTTTTTTTCAAAAAAAAGTAATTTTTTGCTCAAATTTATAGTTTCTCAAAAATCTTATTTTTTCGAAGTAATTTTTTTTCAAAAATGTTAATAGTTTTTAAAAAAAATTATAATTTTTGGTACGGGAAGTTCCAGCAATTTGCCTTAAGACACGATGCCCTAATTGCCTTAAGACAGAATTCCACTTACAGCTAGTTTATTTATAAAAAAAACATATAAATGCATCTTCATTTTTTTAAACATTTTATATGTTCTTTGTGTTTATTTTTTAAATAAATTATAAAACTTGCCATTTTTATATAGAAAACCTTCTTCACATTTAAAAAAGGCAAAACACAAAATAAGATTTTTTTTAAAAGTCTTAAATATCTTTAAGACTAAATATCTAATACCGTTATTTTCGTTATATGGCAAGTTTTCTATATTTCATTTCCATTTATTTAAAAAAAATGATAATTAAAAAATACACATAATAAACGTAAAAGACTTTCAAGACTTTTTTTCATCATTTTCTATTAAGTAAATTAATAAAAATATAATAAAATCTAACAACACCAATTATTCAAAAAAAAAAATCAAATTGTTTATTTAAATATTACAATTTGTGTGGTAAGTTGTCTATACATGTATAATTTTGTAAATTTCTATACATGTAATATATTTTTTTAATAAATGGAAATAAAATATAGAAAACGTGTCATATAAATTATTTAAAAATACAAAAAAACATTCAACGAAGATAACGAAAGATTTTATAAAGAATAGTTTCCACATTAGAAAAACTAATGTTAAAAATTGGTACATTGACAATTAAAATGTTTACAAAACAATCACCAGAAATAATAAAAAAATATGAATGATATAATTTGAAACTAGCTGTAAGTGGAATTCTGTCTTGAGGCAATTATGGCATCGTGCCTTAAGGCAAATTGCTGGAACTTCCCGTACCGTAACGAAATGTTCGAGGAATACTGAATGTTTTGAAATAAATTATTATTAATATTGTAACATTGTCTAATATTTATGAGAATTATATAAACTGAATTGCAGAGTTTCAGAGAACTATAGTCAGAATTAAAACTAAAATCTGAAATATTTTCGATATACAAAAAACTAAAAAAAAAAATTGGAACAAAATTTTATTCCAAAATCAATTATTTTGTTAAGACAAGCAGAAAGTTCTTTGAATCATTTAAATCGGACGCTTAGTTCTCTCAAAAACTGCCATTTTTTACATATTTAGCTCCGTATCTTCGAAATGGCTGGGCCTGCCTTTGCCAAAAACTAATAAGCACTTCTCCCAATCATTACTAATTGAATGTTTTTTAGATCATTCAAATCGGATACTCCGTTCTCTCAAAAATTCGATTTCTATTTTCTGCACTCTTTGCTCCATATCTCCGAAACGGCTGGACCTGCCTTTGCCAAAAACTAATCAGCTCTTTTCCCTATCAATAGGAATCGAATGTTTTTTGAACCATTCAAATCGGTTGATCCGTGCGCCCTAAAACTTGACTGGAAATTTATATCCATACATACATACACACACACACACATACACACACACACATCCATTTTTTCTGAGGTATGCCAAAACGTTCAGAAACCTTCAAAACGTCGAGAAATGTTAAAATTTTCAACTCCGATTTTCGGCCCGATTACAATAAGTTACCCTACGGGAAGTTAAAAATATAATATAAAGTGCACATTAACAAAAAGTGCACGTTTTAAAGATGTAGCTTAGTTTTTTCTTCAAATAACTAGTAGAATATATATATATATATATATATATAATATATATATATACATAAATGTATATGTGTATATATATAATAAAACTTTAAATATACATACTGCTCTATTAACACCTCCAATACAAATCCATGTTTTTTGTGCAGTAATTGCCCATTTCGAATGATCGACATGATCACTAAACACCAAATTTGTTGAATTAATCTTCACCGAAGAAATATTGTTAACTCTGTAAAAATGTTCTTCAATATATATATATATATATATATATATATATATATATATATATACATGGCCGGTCCTACCTTGAATGCGATGCATGCAAAAAATGCGGGCGCACGCCTTAGGGGGCGCCAAAACGAGATTCGGAATTTAAATTTTCAATATAGTTTTTTTTTTCAATATAATTCAAGAAACATATAATTTCTTTGCATTTTCACTAATTTTTTAGCAATATTTAAAATGCAATTTTGGATAGTTTAAATAATAAAAATCAAAATAAAATTATCCAACATAAAGTGTTATGTTTAACAATGAAAGCTAGAATGTTTTTGCTTTCCATGATTTGTTTAATAGAATAAATCGCATGAAATCTCCAAAATAAATAAGTAAAATTTTTCAAAACCCAAATTTTAATATTACACATGCGTTAGAATTAAATGAAAATACAAAAATATTATTTCAAGCAATAATAAACATACTGAAATGTTTTGATGTCCTAAAAAGTTTGGATTAAAAATAAGAATTTAGAAGTAGTTTATTGGTAGTGATTATGAAGAATCCGCGAATCGCCACGATATTCTAAATAAATTTTAAATCAATGTGCTTTTATATTACATATTTATTTTTTGTGTACTAAATCCAGAGTTATTAAAAAGTATTTAAAAAATAACGTAAATCTCCTTACAATTTTAATGATATACTGTTAAAACAGTTAAAATAACAAGGGGGGGGGGCGCTAGAAAAAAAAATTGCATGCGGGCGCTGAAGACCCCAGGACCGGCCCTGTATATATATATATATATATATATATATATATATATATATATATTATTACCTGTATTGTAATGAACAATTACTCCTAAGTCGTCCAGGTCCATTAGGCCAAGTCTCGACTTCTAAATCATCCCTCAAATCTTGGGCCAACCAGTCCACATACAAATCTTTATTAAATTTGCTACTTTTTCGCATAAGATTGAAAATTTACTTTGCTCAAACTTTGTATCTCATTCTTGCTCCAAAACGGTGCTTTCATTATTTGATCACCACGAAAAAGAGATTTGAGACTAGGATATTTATTTGGTTCAACAAATTCTGGCAAATTCTTTTTGTAAGAATATGGATGGATGTAGAGTAGTTGATTGGCCACTGTCTCAAATGTGTTTAGGTTTAGAGTCACGCATAAAACACTTTGTCCAAAATGTGTTGCAGTTTTTGGATAACTGTATAAAGAATCTGAAATTGCAAACCATGGTGTTATTTTATCATAATAATAATAACTAGTGGTGTATGGCATCGTGCCTTAAGGCAAATTGCTGGAACTTCCCGTACCGTAATGAAATATTCGAGAAATTTTAAACGTTTTCAAATATATTATTACAATTACTGTAACATTCATTATTTTTGCTATCTTATTGTTATATCTGAGCAAATCATATGTAAATCATAAATCAATTAAATTATCTCCAGGACATTAACAATCGTCATTTCATTTCGAATTCAATCTAAAAAAAAAAAAATAGTTGCCTAATTTGCACAAAATTGAAAAAGTGCTCCCGTATAGTCACAAGTCTATACGCATTTGGCAAATAATTCTGTGCGACATTTTCACTTATACTGTGTTTAACTTGGCGACATTTATCAATAGTTTTCACAAAATTGGAAAAATGCTCCAGTATACAGTAAACAGTCTAAACGCACTTGGGTAAACATTTGTACCAGAGTGGCGCTTAGACTGTGCTTAGCCTGGGTCATTTTTAACTTCCCTGAAAATTTTTATATATCTTTACGTTTCAAAGCTTTCTGAATATTTTGGCATACCTTATAAAAAATGGATGTGTGTGTGTGTGTGTGCGGATACAAATTTTCGTCGACGATTTGGTGAACACCGATTAACCGATTTAAATAATTCAAAGAACATTCGACTCATATTGATAAGGAGACGTGCTGATTAGTTTTTGGCAAAGGCAGGTCTAGCCGTTCCGAAGATACGGGGCAAAAAGTGCCAAAAACGGTCACTCAGTTTTTAAGAGAACGAGGCGTCCGATTTTAATAATTCAAAAAACATTTTGCTTGATTAGATGATGTGCAAAAAATGCATTTACGAAAAAATTAGTAATTTTGAAAATTAAAAAAAAATCAGAATTTTCAAAAAAATTTAAAGTTTCAGAAAATTCAATTTTTCGAAATTTTTCATCCTTTTCAAAAAAAAACTAAATTTCGAAAAACTAAAAAAAAGATTTCTTACAATAATTTGAGAATTTTCCGAAAATTAAAATAAAATCGAATATTTTCAAAAATTTCCTAATTTTCAAAATATTTAAAAAACGTTTGTTTTTTAGATTCCACTTCGAAGAAAATCTAAATTTTCAAAAAATACGGAAAAAGGTATGGGAAGTTTTAGCAATTTGCCTTAAGGCACGATGCCATAGTTTGAATTTTTAATCCAAAATTACAACAATATTTTATGGAAAATAGAAAAAGATGTAATAGTTTTTTATCCTCAAAAGCAATTGCTTTGTCAATACAAGCAGAAAGTTTTTTGGATCATTCAAATCGGACGCTTAGTTCAATCAGAATTTTGCCAAAAACTGCCATTTTTTGCACATTTAGCTTTGTATCTCCGAAATAGCTGGGCCTGCCTTTGCCAAAAACTAATAAACACTTTTCCCAACTATTACTAATTGAATAGTTTTTAGATCATTCAAATCGGATACTCCGTTCTCTCAAAATGGCGATTTCTATTTTCTGCACTCTTTGCTCCGTATCTCCGTAACGGCCGGACCTGCCTTTGCCAAAAACTAATCAACACATCTCCCTATCAATAGAAATCAAATGTATTTTAAACCATTCAAATCGGTTGATCCGTGCGCCCGAAAACGTGACTGGAAATTTGTATCCATACATACACACACACACACAGACACATCCATTTTTTCTGAGGTATGCCAGTAAAATGGAAAAAATTTCATTTTCGATTTTCGGCCCATTACTATAACTACCCTACGGGAAGTTAATAAAATATTTTATCATGTGTTTATTTTATTTAAGATTCAAATAAATAATATGTTTTTTGGACCTTGGACTTGTGGAAAATGCGGAACGGAATGTATTAACCAAATTCCAGTGTTTCGATCTGCCAATAATATTCCTTTCGAGTGTCCATATTCGTCACCAGCTGTTCCTGATGGAGGTTGGTCATTGTATATAAACTCTAAATTTATATCCTAAAACAATTGTATAAATTGTATTATATTGTTATAAATTTCAGGCATCGTCTACTTACATTTTCATATAAAGGCTTCAAAGTGTACCCAAGCATGGACTGAGAACTATTTATCGAGACTGCACTTGTTGTCCATCCATTTCCAATATTTTGAGGTGTTATAAATGCATAAGCCAAACCGACTTTTATTAATTCATTTTCGTGTTGGGTTTGTTTCGGCAACTTGTACATAATAAACCTTAAATGTATTAAATAATAAATAATACTAGTATTTATTTGTCCATGTTTTTTTTTACTCACCAGTCAACATTTTGATTGTTTTCATCTTTGCACTGTATATTGCAAAATGCTAAATTGGTGAAATATATTAAAAAAATATAAATGAGTGCACATAACATCATGATGTCTAATGTATAATACTGTTTTGATTTGAATGATGATATCAAATCAAAGTTCTTGTTTGTGTTACTCAATGACTCATAATAACAATGGAATAGTGTGTTCAAGAAGTGAAACTTAGTAAAGTCGACATAATAAAGAAATATTGGTGTATGGCAACGTGCCTTAAGGCAAATTGCTGGAACTTCCCACACCATGATGAAATTAAATTAAAATTCGAGGAATTTTAAACGTTTTCAAATATACTTATTATTACAAATACTGTAACTTTCATTATTTTTTTGCTATCTTGTTGTATCTGAGCAAATCAAATATAAATCATAAATCAATTTATCTCCAGAACATTATCAATCGTCATTTCATTTCGAATTCAATTTCAAAAAAATAGTTGCAATAGAGGAAATGAAGAACTGATGAAATTTTTGGAAAGTAAAAAAAATTATTTTGGGGGTCTAAAACGAAAATTAGACATATATGCACATGGACAAATTAAGTATGTATATGCATATCAAATTATCACATGTTTTATAGAAATTTTAATAAAAAGTATGAATTTGTTACATTTTTTTGGGATCCTGCACGATTGCTTTGAAAAAAAGTTCAATATTTAAAAAAAAGTCTAATTTTTCAAAAAAAAAAAAAGTCAAATTAAAAAAAAAATTTCAAAGATTTCACAATTTTCATATAAATCTCAATATATTTTCTGAAAACTCTCATATATATATATATATATATATATATGAGTAAGTTCTTCAAGGGCATACATCAAATAAAAGGCAAAGAGTTAGAAGTTAATCTTTAATTTTTCCAAACGTTTCGACATAGTATTTTATGTCATCATCAGTGGATATAAATATGGTCTTACATCAGTAGCTAGCGCAAGGAACATAATTTTGCACTATCATATATACATTAACTTGTTTTTTTTTTTTTTTTGCCCGCATGCAAGATTTGTTCTAGCGCCCTCCCCCCCAATAATTTTAACTGTTTTAACATTTATCATTAAAATTATATGAATATTTACGTGAATTCACACACAAAATTATAAATAACCTAAAAGCGTATAAAATACATTGATTTTAATTTTATTTAGAAAATCGAAGCGATTTGCGGATTGACCATAATTATTTATTTTTATAATATATATTTTATATTATATATCATATATTATAATTAATATTTTATATTTTCAAGTATTTCTAACATATATGTAATATTAATATTTGGGTTTTGAAACATTTCACTTATTTCATTAAACTCATTTTTATTTTTAAACATAACATTCATTTTTCATGTTAAATTTTTAAAATTTTATTTTAATTTTTTTTCATTCTTTACAATATCCAAAATTGCATCAGTAACTTATTAATATCGTGAAGCCAAATTGTATTCATGTTTACTTTCCCATCTGATTCAGAATATCAGATTGTTGTTTTAAAGTTAAATTTTTAACGTATTTTAAAAGATGCAAAGAAATTACATATTTCCTGAACTATATCGAAAACAAAACAATAATATTTGTATCTGTATTATTTCTGCTTAGTTAATAATTAAATTTAGTATGGACACAGGTATAAAACAACTCACGAGTTTTGTTTCTAAGTACATTTTGCTTCCATTTTTCATGTTTGCTCCATTTTCATAAACCTAACCACGCATGTCTTTAACGTTCAAAGTTAATCAGATGCAAAACATTTTCAACAAATACAAAAGTTACAATTAAGTTTCTCGGTCTTATAGTCATTTACTAAGCACTGACTTCCCATTTTACATTTTTCTCTATTATAATTTGTATCTATTTTCTTTTAACAAGTTCCGTTCAAACTAAATCAGCTCGCAATTTTTCATCAATAATGCCCAATAATTTAAACTTTCGTAGGTTTGCGCTTACGGTATTGAATACTAGATAATTATTTTTCGATTCCACATCAACTTCGATCGAAGAAAAAGTTAATAAGTTTATTTAATAATAAGCAGAACAAGAATTTATTAATTTGCATGAGTTATATAATTGTTTCTACAGATATCACATTGCAAACTGAATATGCTTTCTGTTTGTACGTATTCATAGTTAAGTTATATTGTTTATTAAAATCTATTGAGTAATCTAGATTTTATATTAAAAAAATACGAATAATATATTATAAATTGCATTTCCAAATCTCGTTTTGGCGCCCCCTAAAGCGTGCGCCCGCATTTTTTGCATGCATCGCATGCAAGGCAGGATAATATATATATATATATATATATATATATATATATATATATATATATATATACTCGTATGTATATATATATATATATATACATAAATACTTAATATATATATATTAATAAAATACTTTTATTGGCATACCCCCTTTGTTGTATGCTATAATTACATATTGATTACCTCAAGTCTATAAGTACGCATCTATTTTTTGTGTTGTTTCATATGGCTCTTGAGGTTACTATTCTGTGCGTAGCCCTTATTACAAATGGGGCACTTATAAGGAGTTTCTCCGGTGTGAAGACGAATATGTGCACGGAAATTTGCGGAATCACTAAAACTGGATCCACAATCACTACAACAGTACGGGCGTTCTCCTGAGTGCACCCTGAAAAGAAATTTCACTTTAATACTTAAATTTTACTGGATAAGAGGATAATTAGTTACTTACCTCAAATGCCTCGTATAACTATTCTTATGCGAAAACTTCTGAGGACACATAGTACAACAATAAGGCTTTTCCCCAGTATGAGTCCTCATATGAACTTTCAACTGCGAAGACATATAAAACATTTTCTTGCACTCCGAACACTCTAAATTCTTCTCCACATTGTGAACAGCTCGAATATGCTTCCTCACATTGGTCGTCTCTGCAAAGGCTTTGTTACAAATCGGACATTTATGCTGCTTGATACCAGTGTGGCGAAGTAGATGCCTTTTGAGTTGTGAGGCTTCTGTAAATCTGAATTCACAAATGGAACAAGCGTGTGGTTTTAAGCCTGAGTGAGTTCTTTTGTGCCGAGTAAGTTCACTGGAGTATCTAAAAGATTTACCACAGGTGTCACATAAAGTCGGTTGTTTTTTCCTCGTCCTGCCACGTTTCTTTCTGGATTCGTCTATAGAAATATTTAGTAGGTCTGGGGAGGATACATCTATAGAATTATTCAATAAATGTGTTGTGTCTGGGGTGACAACTATTTCTTCTTTGATACTCTGTAGGTTTTCCTCTATATTTAATTTATTTTCATTAGATTGTATAGAGAGGTTCTGTTCGTCAATGTTTTGTTTTAGATATATTTTTAAAGACTCTTCCGAGTATTTGCATTTTTGTTTAAATTCGTAGGCTATATTCAAATGATCCAGACAAATAGAACATATCTGAGAAGGCAAGCCATCGCCTTGGTAGACCTATTAAAAAAATTGAAAAATGTTACAAAATAAAATTTTTGTCTTTTCAAATATCATCAATAAAAAATTGTATGAATGATTTGGAAATTTATTTAGCATTCAATTCAGTGGAAGATAACATTCCTTAACATTGTATTTGGGATCTATAAGTTCAAGTGGAAGTCTCATATCAGTGATTGCTAATCCAGGTTATTAATTAATTTGGAAAAATTAGTCTTCAGATATTTTATGCGTCTTCTGAACATGAAGACATACCACTAAAACTTTTTAATGAATGACGAATAGTATTAAAGAGTTACGAAATGTATAACCATATGTCTCAAATATGGTTGATGATAACTTTCACAACAATAAATTTCGTTCTTAGAATCTTGCCAAAAATAATGGAATATTCAAATTACTCCATCCTTTACTTAATTGTTTTTAAAACTAAAATTGATTATCAATAAATTTTATTCACTTTTGTCTCTTGGCTTTGTTCATAATATACATTACAATTTTAATATATATTGTATAATACAGTTTTTGCACAGTTATAACACATTGCACAGAATATACATTGACTATATATATAATACAGTTAAATAATTTCTAATAGTTTTTTTTTTTAATAAGTATTATAAAAAAATTAAAATATATTGTTTCTATGCAATTGAACCCTTTGCTCAAAAATAAGGAAAGCAACAAATGTTTTCTGTTATAGAAAGTTCTTATTACAAAATCATTTGTTACATTACAAACATTATATAATACCTAATTTGATTTGTGATACCATTTGTGTATCATTAAACATAACAATATAAAACAATAATATTTGGATTAATATTTCATTGATTTTCATCACTCTTCCCACTATGAAGTGCCATGTGTTTCCCCAAATCGTCAGATTGAGTGAATTCCTCATTGCATATATCACATTTATAAGGAGGCTCTCCATTATGAATCATCATGTGTTTTTTTAGATGACTTTGTGAATCAGCATGTGTTTTTTCAAATCACCGGATCGTGTGAATGTCTTATTGCATTCTTTGCATTCATGAGGGCGCTCACCACTGTGAATGAGCATGTGTGTTTTCAAATGACCAGATTGGGTGAATGTCTTATTGCATTCTTTGCATTCGTGAGGGCGCTCACCACTGTGAGTGAGCATGTGATTTTTGAGACTCAATGAATGTGTGAATGTCTTATTACAAATTGTGCATTTATGAGTGCTTGCGCCAGTATGTATCAGCATGTGTCTTTTCATATTTCTTAATTGTACGAATGCTTTATTGCATATAGTGCACTCATGGGGGCGCTCACCAGTGTGAATGAGCATGTGAGATTTCAGATTACTTGAATGTGTGAATGTCTTATTGCATAAACTGCATTTATAGGGACGCTCACCAGTGTGAATGAGCATGTGAGATTTCAGGGTACACGATTGTGTGAATGTCTTATTGCATAAACTGCACTCATGGGGGCGCTCACCACTGTGACTGAGCATGTGATTTTTGAGACTTTTTGAATGTGTGAATGTCTTCTTGCATATACTGCATTCATGGGGACGTATCCCTTTGTGTATCAGCATGTGATTTTTGAAACTAGTTAAATGTCTAAATGTCTTCTTACATACGCTGCATTCATGGGGACGTATCCCTTCGTGTATCAGCATGTGACTTTTTAGAGTACCTAAATGTCTGAATGTCTTATTACATACATTGCAATCATAGGGACGCTCACCAGTGTGTATCAGCATGTGCTTTTTCAAATCACCGGATCGTGTGAATGTTTTATTGCATTCTTTGCATTCATGTGACGTTTGAGGCTTATCATTGTGATAGTCCATGTGATTTTTAAAAAAAAATGATTGTTTGAAAGTCATTTGACAGATTTCACATTTCATGGCTTGTTCTTTACTATCGCTAGGCATGTGATCGACCATATGCTTTGTTAGATGATGTGATTCTGCAAATGATTGATTACAAATGTCACAATCAAAAGACTCCTGTTTGACTTCTTCTTTAATTGTCACCTCGGAATTCATGAATCTTTCTAAACACGTATCATCGTCTTCAGTAAACGATTCTGATTTAACAGTAACATCAAGGGCATCAAATTCATTTTCAATTTCGAGTTTAATGTCCCCTGTTGAATATTCTGGTGGTTCAATTTTAATAATTGCCTCATAGACTTGATCATTCATAAATTTAAATGTTTCTTCTGACATTTTGAAATATTTTCACTACTTGTACTCACTAATTGAATTATCTAAAAACAATTCGTATTCTAAATAATAAACTACTTTAATCAACAATTTTTTGAAATACGATAAATGATTTCAACTAAAATTTGACATTTGAAGCATAGAGTATGTTTATACTTTATAGAAAGATGAGACATTTATCAAATCAAATCTTTGATATTTAACGGGTTTGTTCCATCCGAGCCAATCTGACAGTCCGAAACTGTTTCAAACTAGACCGGCCATGTCCAACCTGCGGCCCGATGGCAATTTTTGTACGGCCCCATGATAAACAACAATCGCACTAATTATAATTTTCAAATTAAATAAATAAAATAATTTTTGTAAAGGCTAATATAGAAGTCTGAACACTAAGTCAGCATCAAATGAAAAGAATAGATATGAATAGATGTCGATATGATATTCTATAGATAGCAGCGCTTGACAGATAACGACAAATAATTGTCAACGGAACGGACAACGGGAGACTAGGGGCTCTATGGTCGAGTGGGCAACACTAGTTCACGAGTCACTCACCAGTCTATAAGTCCATATGCTTGTAATCGTGGGGAGTTATCTCCGAAAAAATGTTCATATTACGATTATTTTGAAAAAAAAAGAAATTTCAAACAGTTTTAAAATACAAAGAAAAACATTCTTTTCAAAAAAGTCAATTTTTTTCAATAATTTCAAGATTCTCAAAAATCTAATTTTTTCAAAGTTTTCAAAAATATTAAGGGGGGCGATACATGTAATCGCCTTAATTTTTACCATTTTTTGAAGACTTTTTAAACTGGGAAGGAATGACTGAATCTTTTTGAACTTTTTAGGGTTATTTATTATATATTAAAATACACAAAAAAAATTTTTTTTAATTTTTTTTTAAATGGCTGCCGTAAAAATAAATCTGCCAAGACCCTCTCGGAAAACGCCTTCAATTTGCGGGCGTTCTCACTTTTCGTACGGTGATCCGAAATCAAAAAAATTAGTTTGTACGTGTTCATAAAACATATATATTCTAGTTAAACCAAAAAAAAAAATTAAAAAAGTCACAAAATCGTAAATTGGCACACCTCAGAAAAAAAAGTTCGATTTTTTACCTTTTTTTCAATGGTTTTTTTTGGTAAAAGGGTTAATTTTTGAAAATTTTTTTGGAATGTTTGAGGATTAACTAGAAGCTATTACTGTAAAGTAGATGTGTGCAAAATTTCATTGGAATCGGTTGAGAACTTTTTGAGTTATCCCGCCCGCAAATTTCAAAAATGTCGTTTTGAGAAAAACGCGTTTAAAGTTTTGACACATAGAAAAAGATAAGAGTACAATAGCACTCAAGCGTCGAGTTGAGGCGTGGCACTTAAATGAGTTTTTATTGTATAAATAATGATAATTTTGTTTTGAATATTTACAGGCATATTTTTGAGATGTTATTGTAACGATTTATGAAGAAAAAAAAATCGATTTTTTTTTTCTTGTTACATGTATCGCCCCCCTTAAAGCTTTTAAAAGTTTGGAATTACAGTACGAGAAGTTCCATCAAATTGCCTTAAGGCGCGATGCCACGCACCACTAGTTTTTCCAGATTTGTTGTGGCCCAGTACCTTGTCTATTCCTAAATTTTGGCCCAAAGAGTAATTTAGGTTGGACATCGCTGAACTAGACTAGACCAAACTCTTTCTGATCTTTTCATGGCAGTTGGCAATGGTTTGGTTTAGATATATATATATGCTTATTTATCTATGTACAGTAAACCCTCGCTTTACGCGGCAAGTGCGTACCGTGCAGTATAGGAACCGTGCTATAAGAAACTCGTATTTAACATACAATTCAGGCTAATTCGTAGAGAGTTCTATGGAACCTTACATAGTGCAGTATGGGAACCGTGCTATGAGAGACTCAGAGTTGGTACAAATCGCACCATTTTTATCGCGTTGTATGGAGACCAAGAAATACAACTTGAAGTAGGAGAAATACGGACGAAATGACATGTAGGACATTGACACCTTATTCAAAAATTGGCGCGACGCAGTAGTCAGCTCAAACGTGTTCTTAGGCGGCTATTATACAATCAGGCATGTCTAAAAGATAAAAGTCGATAACAAAATTTACATCAATACCCTTTTGCACAACGAACTTATGGGCTGTTGACCAAATACCGTGTAATAAGAAGTCCGTGTAGTCGGAGGGATGTCGGACTTTTAGCTCCGTGTAGTATGGGAACCGTGTACCCAGAGTGCCGTGTAAAGCGAGGGCCTACTGTATATATATATTAAACATATTCTAATAAAATATAACTTAATTATATCAATGAATTTGCTTTTTAATATTTCCTAGTTATATATCGTTATGTCGCTTTGATCTAATATTCTACAATGTTTGGACTTTTGTAAATTCATTAAATTTTTAATGTTCTATTTGAGATTAAATAACATTATATTTTAATCGTACTGAATTGCGGTGTTTTTGTTTGTGCCGGGTACAAACACA